CAGATTGAGTTCCTGCCATCCCAACCCCTGTCAATCGAGAAACCGCTGCGATGGGTTTATATCTGCTTTAGTATTATGAGAAAATTGGAACTTCAATGGAAGCTACATCTAGCGTACCGGTACCATGACTTTAGAATTCCCTTTCCCCACGATCCGAGAGGGAAACTGCGAAACCCACGCATGAACGAAGGTATAGCCGAGGGGTATATGCAATTCCTTGTTAGGAGGAGCGATCACATGTCATGGCACACGTATTTGCCATTCGACCCGCGTTCTTACGATAGCCTAGCCACAAGGTGGGGGGGTAGCCTGCTTGGTGGATGGGATATCCCGCGGGCTATGGGGCCAAAGTACGCAGCGTCTGGGATGGACATAGACTACTAGGGCGTCTCGCACAAGCCGGAGCCCATTTAGTAGGGGATCAAAAGCAACGGCACATCTAAGAATAGATATGACATATGTGACCAACAGGAAATCCTCTACTATTCGAAACCCGAGAAAACTCGGGGGGAATGTTGTGATACAAGAAACGAGCAAAACTGGTATGTTTGTCCCAAGGGGGGGGGGGTGATCGTGCTGTGCCTAGCTTAGCCATCAAGCACGTCGCAAGGTGGAGATCAGGGAAGAACCGCACAGCGGCATGCCATTAATGCAGATATTGCACTTGACACATTAACATTGGGCGTCCGGCCTCTATCTAAGTGCCGCATCGTTCCTTGCTTGTGATTTCTCCCGTCCGGGCGGAAATCAGGCGAAAATTTGGAATCGGCGTCCTAAGACAAACTGCTCCCGCCTAAGTAAAAACCATACTCGTACTATGATCGAGTAAGGTACCAATGCTACAACAGCATCCGTACTATCGCTCCCCAGAACCTGCTTTATCATCCTCTATTACACTAAATCCATCCAATCCACCAAGCGCAACCTCACACCTTTTGTGCGGCCCTCGGTACCACGAGAAAGGAGTGTTCAGAAATGAAGCCCACACTTACCCCCCACCCTGGCACCCCGCATTAGTGCTGGCCCCCCAGCAAAGGAATCTCCAGCCCCAACACTCGCTCACTGCACACGATACACTGCTACCACCTCCTCGGAGGTCGGGAAAATACTGTAGATTAAGGAGATATTGGAACGAAATAGCCGTAACCAATTACACCGGGAAAATGGGGGCTCCCGGAGAAGCATACGTAGCAGTAGCGAACTGCTTTTATAAGTGGGGATCATAAACACAAAACACCCAGTAAGCACGCTCTCCCAACTGACATCAAAGAATTAATACAGGGGATAATACCCAACTCTCGATTTATCCCCTAAGCTATACTCTACCCTAACCTAGAAAAAGAGAAAAATGATAAGCCAGAATAAGGGCTATCGGATCTGCTGCCCAAGGAAAGAGGGCTCCGCGTTTCTCATGGGGCGAGCGTGTGTTTGCGGTGAGCCAGATAACTAGTCGCCGTGCCGTTCCGGTGTCTTGCATGGGTAGCACTGGGGAAATGGTACGAGTTATCGGTTAACTTAAGGCTTCGTTCATAGGTTGTTGCTTAGCCAAAAGTGGTGGAGGACGGGGGGTAGTCTACAGCTGGATCCCAATTTCTCTCAAAAAGGACAGAGTTGGGGAGAGGGTTGCAGAGGTTGGTATTGGATATTGAGGGCTTTGGTCGACCGAATTCTATCGCTCCCGTCTAAGCATTCCGAATAATCACACCCCCGTCCTCACTACCTCTTGCTCCTATGGACTAGCCATCCTCCCGTACCATCTGTCACTTTCTTTCTGACTTCCCTCCCTTGGCTCTACCTCCACCACCATCCACCAACCTGCGCGCCAGGACCGTATCCTCCGGATCCCGCATGATACATGGATAGGATAAATTTTCCGGCAGCGATGGAGGGTTTTCCTTATACCCGGTCTGCCGATTTGGCATCGTGAGTTTGAAACGTTTTCATTAATGCTTGGAATGCTTTGATTTTATCGAGAATTTGTTATTTTAAGGGGGTGAAGTTTCTTATGGGAGGGGTTTTTAGGCCATATCTTAGGGTGCTTGCCATGGATTTTCCTATAGTTGGCTATGAATAAACCGCGAATTTAACAAAAAAAAAAGAAGACCGGATCTGTCATTCTTGAAACGGCCACCGCCGACTTAGATCAGGAAGGCGGACTGTAAGTCTCCACCAATTAGGGAATCCAGAGAATGGAAGAAAATGGGATGGAAAACGTGTCTGCATTCGGTCCCCATTTCCCTCTTCCTTTTTGCACTTTTTCGGGAATGAAAAAGGTGGGAACTTTATGTGCTTTGCGGGGATTTATTTCCGGGAAAGCCATTAACGAATGTACTCGAGTAAATACATCTGGGAGTGATATGGCAAACGATATTTCCCATCTTTTACCTTCCGGTATCTCAACCCCAATCAGCGTCGCAGCCTGTAGTTGGGGGGAGGGGGGGGGGGGTTAGCTTCCGTGTACCCTGCTTGGGTCATAGAGAATTGGTGTCTTGACCTGTGAGCATCTTGCCATCTCCCTTACCTTGTGCCATGGTAAAGAGATAGAAATAGATATTGCCAACTCGTGCAAGATTTCTGCACATATGTAGCTGACCTTGACAGGTTTTGGCGCAGTATTGGAGGCAAGACTAGTTTTTGTCTTTTCCCTTGATTGCCTACTGGGGTTAGCCTCGGCCGGTGGTGGGTATGGGAGGTTTGAATTGTACATCAAAGGGTAGAAGAAAATATAGCAGAATATCGATGAAGAATCATATTCTATATGGATTAAATGATAAGTATTTTGTTTAAAGTGGAAATATATTAAGCCTTGACTCTGAATATCCTGATGTAATAACGCCCCCTTCAGCCAAACGCCATGGGTGGAAAAACCGGAGAAGCTTCAGTGTACTAGTATACAGAATAGATAACAATGCACTTTCAGACAATTGGAATATACAGAAGAAAATTTCCGAGATCGGGGCTCAGGAAAAACTGAAAGACACAGGAGGAGAGTAAGGGTATCAACGAGGCGATAAAAGAAACTAGGCGGCTGAGGAGGGGACTAGAAGGAGAATGGGAACTGAACTGTTAAGTAGTATGCTGATAGAAACTGCGGTGGAAGGGGTGCGTGGAGGTGTGGGTCAGAGGGGAGTGTAGAAAAAATCTCTCTGGGATTATTCAGAGCCGGGGCTTGTACTTGCCCGATTCTGGAGGAGTGCTATGATGTTGGTGCGCCAATACATAGAGGCGATCTGGAGTGGGGTTCGACCAAGGTTGTCTGGCTTGTCGGGAGTGACATCATCCCGGGCGAGCAGCAGTCTCACAACCCCCTCACACCCATCGCAAGAAGCCCTCCAGAGTGGTGTTTCACCATCATTGTTAGGTTTGTCGGGATGTACATCGTCCCGGGTGAGCAGCAGTCTCACAACCTCCTCATGCCCATAGCAAGAAGCCGTCCAGAGTGGTCTTGCACCATAATTGTTAGGCTTGTCCGGATTGACATCATCCCTGGTGAGCAGCAGTCTCACAACCCCCTCATGTCCATTGCAAGAAGCCCTCCAGAGTGGTGTTTCACCATAATTGTCAGGTTTGTCGGGATGTATATCGTCCCGGGTGAGCAGTAGTCTCACAACCCCCTCATGCCCATTGTAAGAAGCCGTCCAGAGTGGTCTTGCACCATAATTGTTAGGCTTGTCCGGATTGACATCATCCCTGGTGAGCAGCAGTCTCACAGCCCCCTCATGGCCAGAGCAAGAAGCCCTCCAGAGTGGTGTTTCACCATCATGGTTAGGCTGGTCCGGATTGATGTCGTCTCGTGAGAGTAGCAGTCTTACCACCTGGTCGTTCCCCTGCCGAGCGGCCCACATCAGAGGTGTAAATCCTGCACAATCTCGTTGATTTATATTGCAACCTTTGATGTCTATCAAAGCAATAACGACTTCCACAATTCCGAAGTAGGATGCCGCATGTAAACCGGGAAATAGGTGGTTGAGCGTGGAGCAATCATGCTTTGGATTTATTCGGTTGAAGAGTAAGGTAGCAGATATATGGTTATGGAAGTTGTTTACTAATTCTAGGGCGAGGGACTTAGCGCAATCTGAGAATTCGGCTTTGGCATGGATTCCCCAATGGAGGGATGAATAGTCGAGGAAGGGTAAGCCTTCGAGGTTTGAAATGATCTCAGCCGGAAGCCCCTTGACATGTTCATAATTTAGGTAGGCTAAGCAAGTCTGCGAAAGTGTTTTGTGGGCATCAGGCAAGATACCCGGCCGGGAGAGATATTCCTGGAGCGTGTAGTGGATTAACCGGACCGTCGATGTCTCACCGTCAACAATAGCAAGCCCTAAGCATGACCCTAGGACTGTATCTTGCGGCCGGATATTGTCTGGGTCTAGATTCCGGTTTCCCATCTCTACTGCTAAGGCATGCCGGAGTTCCTCAATCCGTAGTGGCCGCTCTGCGTGCGATACCCACATTAATACCTCCATCCCAAGCCTTGATCGGTCCCCCTTCTGCTCCCTTATCCGCTGCAACGTTTGGGCATATATAGTGTCTAGGTTGACACCGGTAGTGGCCACCTTTTGCAGCATTGCCTTTCGTTTCGCTAATGAACTCTCGCCCAATATTGCATCGATATTCAGTGCGATAAGAAGAAACCTTTGTAGGGTATCAATTACTGGATCAAACTTGTAACAGAGCAGTCGCTACTCACATCTCTGAAGACTTTTCCGAGAGTGTTGTCATGATATCGTTTTTTAAGCTTTCAGTCATCAAGTCCGGATCTCTATCATCATCTTCGTCCATCTTTTGACTTATGTATCTTGCGATATCCCCTCGGTCAGCCACAACATGTATTATATAGGCCCCATTTGTGAGATGTTTATCCAGCTCTTTGCGGATATATGGCCTTCCCGTAAGGAATAGCCGTGTGTTTGGTGCTTCTCCAATAATGTGCCGTAGTGCGCGAAGAAACTCGGCTCGATTCTGTGGTAGTAACTCGTCCACTGCGTCGAAGCAGATGTATACTCGTTCGTAAGCGCCGATCGTTTTAACGAATAATGCTAGCATGTCCGGCAGTCGAAGAGGTTTGCCACCATCCTTTCTCGACTCCTCGAAAGCATTTCGAATTTTACCTGGAATCACCGTTCCTCGTACTGCTACCTGTCTGAGTAGACCACCTATCATATTCACTGCCGTTTGGTCCTTCTGTGCTTGGTAATCACAATAGAGTGATAAAACTGCAATATTCTGTACTCGAACTCGCTTGCACAGGGTGTCTATTACTAGAGAACTATTTTTAATACCTGTTAGCATGTTTCATGGTCGTGGGAGGATACTATTTTACCTTATGTAGGTCTTTCCAACCCCTTGGCTCCCATAACACAGCAAAGTATGATTCGCCGAGTCGTCACGACCGCTGTACCATGACTCGAACTCACTCTCCCCTAGAACCCAATCCCCAACACCATCCAGCCGACGATTGCTCACATCCTGATGCCTTCTATAGGGTTCTAGTGGCGACAGCCATGCCTGGATTTGTAACGACTCTTCATTTACTCCCACGATAGTTGTAGTATTGTAGCTTTGCGACACATTCCCCACATTCGTATTTGAGTCTCCATGAACACTACAGGAGGAGCTGTTGTCCGTACGCATATCCGATATGCGGTGCTGGGTGGGAATCCCGCTGAGGCTAGAGGCTCCGTGACCCGTAGGCATGGTGTTCATAGTGGATAAGGTTTAGTGATGGGTTTGATGATGGGGGTGGGATAACGAGGTGGGATAATAGTATAGTGGTAGGGGTGTTTAGAGTGAAAAGCGGGGGTGGTGTCAACCTTCTCAACACAATGCACTTGTCCACACACCTTGCGCATTCCATTGGCAGGAGGAGTGACTTCGAAAAAATGATACTCCACCCCTACTTTACCTTCAATTATTTGTAAATAGTAAAAAAAAAAAATAAAGGAATAAAAGATAAATGTAAGTAATAATTAGATTACCAAATTGGCCTCCTTAGAGCTAGGATGACAATGTTTGCAACGTACTCTCTCAAAAGTGCTGTATTTTTAGTTTTCTCTCGTGTCAAGAATTCTGGAAACAGCCAAGACCTTCGCCGCAGGATCTAGTTCAGGCTCTGAAATTATGCAAGAACTACTCAAGTATCGGGATCTTTGACACTAATTCAAATGTCTTAAATTTCTATAGCTTACTGGATGCACGCTGTGACTGCTGAAAGTCTTCGGGTATCCTTTTTGCTGTTAGTTGGTATGTGAAACTCTGCAGATAGGATATCAGGGCCAAGTGCGGTATTCGGGGGTTACGTACTAGAGAGCACAGCATGAGAAACATTTTCCCTCTCTTTGTATTCCCATCTTCATATTCTATCACTCACTCAGGTTGTTGGTTTTGATGCTCATCCGCCATAGTAGCTGGTCTCCTTTTTTCCCGTTTTCCTCACTGCTGGTCCTTTCCTCATTAATCTCCTAAGTCTCTTCAGTGTTAGACATCTTTTGGCTTTTCTCACCTTCTCTGTTTGTCTCACAGCTTCACAACTTTACTATACGGGTATTCAAATATGGCATGCCCCTTCCTTATTACTTGTTACGCGTCCCTGCCACGAGGCTCCCCTGTGCCTCTCTTCCGGGGATTTTCCCAGTTCTTTTTTTCCCCCGACGAGTTATATGGTGCCAATCTCCGTATTCTTTTATCATTTCTCTTGTGAGTTTGTTCAAGGATATAGCTTAAACATGGATCTGTGCATGCGACAAGGAAAACAAGTTTCTTCCTTTCACTACTATGAATTGAAGGAGAGCCCATATCAGTTCCCACACTATTACTGGTCCCTCACTATGATCAATAGAAATCTAAATAAAATACAGTCCTAAGCATCACGGACAGGCACATTCGCATTTCGTGCAATTAAAGAACTACCTATGCTACTGGTACCTACTGTACTATTAACATGTCGGTAAATATTCAGACAAGTTAAAGGAAATTCTCCCGAGGATACATGCTGGCAGCCGAAGCAAGAAAAAAAGTCCACAATCCTCTGGATACTTATAGTATGCTGCTATTTTCTGTACCCGAAAAAAAATAGAGGAATCGATGTGGAAAAAAAGTAAAAAAACAGTAGTTTAACGAACAACTAATACTCCGGCCATCCATCTGGAAGGCACGTGTCGCCTCTGCTGCAGCTTAAAACTCACTGGCTAACCCCCTTTTCTGGTGACGTAACAGTTCTGTCTTACAGCCCAAGAAGTGCACTGTAGGGTACTGAGTATCCCAGCTCGCCCATATCTGGCCGTGGCTGCTATGGGTAGAGTATTGGTTTCGAGCTTCCCTATCGCGCAAGTATCAGAAAAACTGGAAGCTGCATCCCCCGCACTACAACTCTGGAATTGTCCCCCAATTGGGCTAGGGGAAATATCTCCTCCTCAATTAATGAAGGGATATACACAGCACAGCTAGGAGAAGCTAGTGCAATGTTCTATTGTGTCTGTCACTCATTCTACTGGTATTTTAGTTTCTACGACATCCTAGTCTTGAAGTAGAGCTTGGTCGGTGGGTTACCCTGCCAGCCATGTACCTACTAAACTCGAGGGCTGGGATGGGAGATACTTATGCATACCAGTAACAGTACGAGGAAAAGCAGATTCAATTGCAGACCAAAATTATGAATATATGTAGATGCAGGGGCGGGTATAGGGCATGTGTCCAGCCCGGGTGAGATTCTCTACTCCCAAAAAGCCCAGGGAAATTCCAGGAAGAAAGTTGCCAAGGATGAGACAAAAGAAATATGCACGTTTGTCAAAAACGTGGAAAAGGCCGCACCCGGTTACCCAGCATCTGGGTTGCCGATACATGACGACATCCGCAAAAGGCCGCGATGCAATGGCATCCCGGAGATTGGACGGGAAAGGCGAGTAAGTGATACTCCTATTAATAGCTTAGTCATCGAGCACGTCACAATAATGGGGGCAGACAGGAATCCCACCAAGGTGTGCCAGAAATGCAAACAGTAAGACAGCTGGGGCATTAAATTTAACCTGGGTGAGAATAGCCTATGATACCTCGAAACTCCAGGTTCGCTATAACGGCTAAATTTATGTTGCCCTTCCCAGTGATCCCACCCGTCTCCATTGAAACACTGTGGACAACATAAGCTAGAAGCCCTGAAGCATGCTGCTTTCACTCAAACTCAAGCAAGCACTGAAATTTTCTCTATCACAGCACCCATCCCGCAGTAGCACCCTCACGGCCACTGCCGGAAACATCGTGATTACAAGGAATCGGTTCGACCCACCGAGCAGGCGGAACACCCCTGAGTTCCGTCCCAAGCCCTGCACCTCCGGACAACGGTCAGTAATTTAACTAGAGAAAATATCGTTCAACAATTAGATTTATTCTTCCCTCCACTCATATCTCATTTACGCCTTCCCATTAGCCGCGATATACGCAACCCCGACACTGATTAATTAATACTGACTATATACAATACACTACTACTACCCACTTTTGCTAGCTAGGGAACTGGACTAAGAAGAGAGTTAATAACCGGAATCAGCTGGGGAAAAAATCAAGGCCACCGGGAGAAGCGTACACGACAGTAACTAACCCCCTCTGTAAGCGGGTATCGTAATATCAACAGCATAGGTGAAAAGTTCGAACAACCAGGAAGCACTCTCTCCTAACCGAGGCGAAAGCCTCAGCACAGGGGATACTACCCACCTCTCAATTTGCCGCCGAGCTATAGTCTGCACTAACCGAGATATGGAGAGGAAAACAATAAACAAGGAGAAAGGTCTATCAAATTTACTGCCGAACGAGAGAGGCCTCCGCTTCGTTAATAGCATGGGCGCGATTTGGCGCTGGGTACCGGTCAGCACTTGTTGGGTCAATGGATCCTCAGGTTATGGCCAGATACTTCGCTGTATCTGAGCACACCGGTTATAGACGATGGCGTGTGCGACACAAGCTTTGTAATTCTGGCCTGCCGGTGTGCCACCGCGGCCTCAGGAACGGGTACTGCTACGGAAGCAATGCGAGTGATGGTCTAAGGTTATATTTACTGGCTATGACTCAGTCAAAAGTACCGGAGAACGGGGGGAAGGGACAGTCTATGTCTGCAACCGGATCTCTCCAAAAATGACAGAGTGGGGGAGAGAGTAGTATAAGGTAGTCCGGTATTGGATATCGAGGACTTTGTCCGACCGAATTCTATTTCTCCCATCTAAACATTCCAAACCATCACATCCCCGTCATCGCAGCCTCTAGCTCCTATGGGCTGGCCTGGCCACTATCCGTATATCATTCCCTCTCCCTTAGCTCCCTCTCCATCTCCGGTGGTCGGTTTGCGCGCCAGAAAAATATACGCGGGATCCGACATGATCCAAGGAGGCCACCCTTGACATGCTATCACTCGCCGTCTGCCCCCCCCCTCAAAAAACTAAAAGGTTAAGCCAGCCAGGGGCACAAACAATACAAGTATGACACCGGAAGGCAGGATCTAGAGTCCTTGCGGCTGCCGGTACTGTCTCCGGTGGTGAAGGCAAACTTGCTAGTCTCTGCCGGTTGGGGGGCCTTAGGGAGGGAATAAAATACGGTGAACAGCGTGCATAAATCCAGCCCCTCTTTCCTTCCATCCTTTCGCCCTTTCTCAAAAGCGAAAAAAGCAGGATCGCTATGGACAATGGCGAGATTTATTACGGGGAAACCAGGCGGTGAATGTGAATGCAGCTAGGAATGATATAGCCGACAGTATTTCCCGTCTTTAGTCCCCTGGCATCCCAGAACTGGTCCACGTCCCGGTATAGAATGGGTGAGGCTAGCCGCTGTGCTCCTAAAGTCATACGGGATTGGTGTCTTGGGCTGTCAACGTCTTGCCATTTTCCTTACCTTGCGCCTGATAAGATAGTGATAGGAATTGCCGATTCCGCAGGCAAGATTTCTGCACACATGCAGCTGACCTTTCAAGTTTTGGCTCAGTGAAGGGGAGGCTAGCTCAAAATGTTCAGTATTGGTAAGGGGTTTCATACCATGGGCTCTCCCTTGGTTGCCCACTGGGGTTAACCTCGGTCTGTGGTGGATGTTGGAGATTCGAATTGTACCATAAGTGGGGGATGGAAACATGGTAAATATCAATGAATGATATTCTAAATGGATTAAATGATAAGCATGTTCAAAATACAAACATATTACGTCCTGATTCTAAATATCTGGATATAATAACATCACCCCCTTCAACCAAACGACATAAGAAAAGACCGGAGGAAATTTAATGTATACCCAAATTTAATACAAAATAATGTACTTTAATACAATAGGTATATGCAGAAGAAACCTTTGGGCACAGGAGTCTATGGAAAACTATGAGAAAAGAGAAGAAAAGGGAGGGGATCAGCCGGGGTGGCGACGGCACACTAGGCAGCAGAGGAAGAC